GTGCATTTCGCTCCAATAATTCACCCTTGTGCCCTTCATCATTTAATATGACAAATAACGGCTGCGGGTAAGTCAATGTGTCAAAATTCCCACCATTTTTCGAAATTTTTCAAAGACTAGCATTTCTCATGAATGACAGTTTGAGGCGGCATATCATTAAGTGGTAATTTATTTCTTTTATCAAGAAAACGTCAAAAACGCCATGTCGTCTGCGCGCGTCTGTCATTAGGGAGTCCATACCCTTATTTAGCGCAAATTTCAAAGCAGTAGGCTAAATTCGATCTTGCCCGACAGAACCGCTGGAGATTATAGAAAATTTGCCCACGAAGTTTTAGTCTCCACACCTGTGTCTTCCGTCTTTTTTTCAAGTGGATATCACTTTTCACTGTGATTGACATTAACACATTGGGATCTCCCACATCAGGTGCACTCTAATAGGTTTGACTACGACCCCGGCACAAAGGGGTCCTTCCTTACAGAGCGTTAAAGGTAATTGTACCATAATTCACGAAGATGAAGTTTCTTTCTTCTTGAGTTTCGTATCTGCAAAGAAAAGGGAGAGAAAAAAGAGGGGATCAGCCACGTGCCTAAAAATATCCATAATATTTAGTGTTTTTAAATGCCAAGAAAGCAGAGACGTTTTCATAACAGTTGTATCTGCGAGGTGTTGACAGAAGAAATCAGCAACGTCTTGAAGACGGTTACGGCTTCGTAAAACAACCATATCAGAAACAGTAGACGTTTCTTTTGATGTGTTTGTGAATTAGGTTCTCTTGTAGATTTTATTTGCAAAATAAAGTCACAGAAGTGCAGTGTGAATTGCTTCTAAGTTGTATTGTACTGAATCATGCCAAAGACGCTCGAAAAGATCTGTTCTCGTCAGTGCGCAAAAACACACGTGTATCAATAAAATTAATGCACACGTACACATCATACACACATTCAGCCATGGAGTCAAGTTATATTTTAAGGTCTATGTTTTGAATCGAATGACGCTGAGTACACGCACATTTGCAAGACATCTAAGTGTTGGAATAAGTACTTGTAAAAGCACAAAAGCCGGAGAAGTTACGTTATAATTGAGTCTGCATGTATACTACTAACAGATTCAAACACAAAGACAATATTACAAAATAGAAAAGGCAAAACTGAACGCTCTTCACAAGCAGCGGTGCCATACATTTAAGTCCTCAAATTGGGTAGACCTTTATTTGAACATTATCCACTATAGCACAGGATTTAGAAGCAAAACGACCTAACAAATTTTTGAATAATTAAACGCAAAAATATTGGCAAAACCGAAATCCCGTAGACCTTTATTTTCCATGTATCGACAAAAGCGCACAGCTGAAACACTTGGAAGCAAAAAGGTCTCAATTGACAGAAAATCTATAGAGATACACTTACTTGTACTGGAAGTGCTTGCCAGGTATTGTTAGTTGGCTTGTTTTTCATGTTTTTGTAGTCAAAATATGAGGCAAAGCAGGTAAGGTTTCACGGAATACCGAAACAGCGAGCAGTGTTAGTCATAAAGCACCGGTGACAATTCCACTCATCTCGGAGCCAAGAGGAACGTCGCTTGGACCTCCACGGGACCGATCGGGATCGTGTGAACGCGACCCGCGGGTTTCATCAATCGCTGCAATCAACCGCCAATCGATACTTGGAGTGGACGAAATAAACGATCTCATCTTCCCGCTTTCAAACCGGGTAATTGACCTATAAACAACCGCGATCTCAGATGCAAATGTCATCAGGGATGATTTTATTGATGTCTGTCATTTGGGTCTCTTTAGAGATGGGTAAATTAATGGGGAATAAACGGACTCGTGATGATCACGGTCATCAGTGTGTGCCGGTAATCACACTGCTAGTTATTATCTGGAGTGCACGGGGTGTTTGAACACGCAGAAACGACTTCCCATATATTTTTTGTCTTGATAGGTTTGTATTTAATATTTTGAAATTTTCATTCAAATTTATTTATTTATTTATTTATTTATTTATTTATTTATTTAACCTCTAGATACCCATCTCCCTGCATTATTTAATGTCACAAACTTCTTTGGACCTTTTTATAACTGTAAGACATCACATTTGCAATATATTCCATTGTGACACAACCCTGCGCATCAGGGACCGTGCGCTTATCTGCCTCCACCCCGTATACGCCCTTCGTTATCTTTAACTGGAGCTGTGTGGCTTTGTTTTCAGTAGACAATTAAAAACAGGGTGCGCAGCATGGACAGCTGTCCGTCCAGTATCAAAGGAAACGGTTAATTAGTGAGTGCAGGGGTTATGCAACCGGCTAGCCGAGTCTTGGTTTATTGCACCCTTAATCATCTCTCCCCCACCTCTCTCTCTCTCTCTCATTTCTCCCTTTTCTTTCTTTCCTTTCACTCCGCAATTTTCATTTGCATGCATATTTGTTGCAATAAGGGCTTAACGGGCAAATTAGGACCAACGCTGAACACAATGTTACCGGTACTGTTACAAAACCGCTAAATCAACCAAAACCTTAAACTGTGAAAACATTACGTTAACATTTACCCCTTCCACCCACAGTCAAAATACTGAGGAAATCCCGAGCGGATAACTTGCAAAGAATCTGTTTGAGAATGAGTGGGGATGATTAAAAGTCAACAAGCTCTGTTCGATTCTCTTAATCACGTCTTGTGGCTTATGTAAAAGTCAGTGTTGAATTCACAAGAAGGGTGCTGCTTTAACCGAACCCTATCCACATGAGGGAGTAGGTAAATAGACCTTGATGGGGAAGCGATAGGTGTGATTTATTGAATTTCTTCGCGACCAGTTCACTGGGGTTACACAAAACTCCATTGAAATGTCAGAACATTTACAAAGCAACATGAAACACTTCATGACAAACGGTACTCAATTTTAAACTCCCCTTTAATTGGCTTCCGAACTTTTTTGTTCGCCGGTTTCCCTCGGTATTTGCCTTTTACTCAACTTTTAGTCCTGCCTTTCACTGCTGCAAATCATTATTCAAACATTCTCTCCTCGGGGTTTTATCCCACTTGCAAATAACGCAATTACGGATTATGTGGCAACAGTCCACGCTGTGGCAAGGTATTGAGAGAAACGCATTAACGGTAGTCTCGCTTTTGTGTCGCCGTCACACCCCTTTAAACAATGTAACAGCTTACTGGACCAAAGAAGTGTACCGGGGGAGGGGGTACTCTCTCTCTCTCTCTCTCTCTCGCTCTTTCTCTCTCGCTCTGTGTGTGTGTGTGTGTGTGTGTGTGTGTGTGTGTGTGTGTGTTTGCGAGAGCGCGAAAGAGTGACACATGCGTGCGTGTACATGTGTGTGTGTGCGCGCCAGTTTTTTTTTGTGATTGTGTGTATGCCTTTGCGTCTCTCTCTCTCTCTCTCTTTCTCTCTCTCTCTCTCTCTCACACACACACACACACACACACACACACACACACACCAGAAACCTAATTTTCAAAGGTCCCCTCCTCATTTCTTGTAGACAGGCACACATCTGTCGTTTTGGGATCTGCTGCTTTTATCTCGAGGATCAGGTGTACCCTATCTGCCTGCAGTCTGCTCAGACATTATACGGACGTCCATGTTAACAGAAAATTACGCAAGATTCAGTGAACGCACAGCCACCTGTATCTTGTATTACGTAGCCGTAATAGACGTGGAGCCGGACAAGTCCAGGTGTTGGTTGGACATTAAAACGCAAATTGGTCTCAATTTTATAATGTCCAAAATTTCAGTCTACTTCGACCCAGTGACATACCCAGCAGGGGAAGTCCATTGCATTCTATTGCACATGTTTATATACCTTAAATAATAAAAAACTTAAAAAAATGGCTGTTTTTTAACCAATGTCTTCATTTACTTAATTCTGAGAAAACGCATTCAACGGATTTCACTTGGAATGAAGAAAACCGAATTTTTTTTTATTTTGAAAGCAAAGACCAACTTTTGGCCTTCAGATCTTTTGTGAAACCGGTCCAGACGTATTTTATTTGGAGACGGACATATTAGACTGCAGAACAGCCCTTTTCAGGGTAGACCCTTTATTATCACTGCTTCACGGACAAATTTATCAGAAAGAAAAAGAAACCCAGTACACGATGATTTGAGGGAATTCTCCTTGTCAGTCAGTGGATTTCCACTTGTTTAAGAAACTTAAATAGAGACAGAAATCAATAAATGTTGCGATACATCATTAGTTTTGTTCTATTTCACAGACAGTGTAGAAAAAATCATCCTCACATAATGACTGTCTCATAAATGTTCACCCTTTCCACCGAGAGACCATTAAACGTGAGGGAGGAAATTGGTTGTTAAAGAGGAAGTTCGTGATAGTTTTATTCAAATTTATATATTCCCCACTTTTGGATTGCCTGTGCTTAAACTAACAGTACTATTTTTCCATTTTAAGCAGATATTTTGAAATGTTTAATAGAATTATATCAAGAGGATGACTTTAAAAAAAAACGTCACTCCTTAAAAATTGAACTGATATCATTTTTCTGCCTACAGAGCCATATAAAACTACCACCCTCGCCACCTGTCCTCAACATCTTCACCCGTCGCCAGCGTTTTACTTATTAAAATGTTCCGATTGACTTCAGAAAACACTGGAACCCTTGGGTCCAATATTCAAGTGGAGGTAATTACTTCACTAAAACGTAGACGATCTCAACAACCTGTGAACAAGCTCAAGGTGAGGGCGAGTTCACTGCAAACTTGAACGGTTCGATCTTGATGACGATTCAATGCCAGTTTAACAGTAGGCCCTACTAGTAGCGATGAAAACGGTGCGGGGAGGTATATGGTGTGGATTTGGTGTGTATAAGAGATGAGGGAGAAACAAATCACTCACACGAATCTATTGCAAACGAATCAACCCAGCGTCTTTTGGAACGATCGAATTTAACCGTAGTGTGAAAGCGCCCGTTATTTTCCTCTCAAGAGCCACCGCCTGTGTGCCCTTGTGACCACCTTCACGTGTAACCTTTGACCTCCGTGTCAGGTAATTACCAGCCAATAACATTCTCCGTTTATGACTGATAATAACATTAGTGACCGGACCGTCCACGTGATTCCGCAGAGCCGATCTTAGCAGCTGTCTTTACTCGACGAAGGTGACGGACGCTTAACCGTTTATTACTACGCTTATTGATAAGTCCGCATACCACCATGAGCACACTTAACACATATGATGATTTAGCGTAAGTCAGGGCACTTGCCTGCTACAATTACTGGATCGTGATTTCTACAGAACTCATCGATTCCGAGTAAGAACAACGCGACTGTCTGAAGTACATAACTTTCACGTTATACTCGAGATACAGTGTACAGTATACTGGAAGCCCCTTGTTTCCGCACGTTAGGACTCTAAGGCAAATTCCTAGGACTACTGTGCTGTTTTTAACTACAGTACGCTCGCATAGTATTGGTCTTGAGGTATAGCCGTTTTTTCACGCATTTCTGATCATAAGACGTGTTACGGCACAGAGGAACGTCGAGACCGCTGCTCTGAAAAGAAACCCAAGCGGAGAGGGCAGTGAGTGATTTCTGCACAAGCGCTCGGCTGATTGACGGGGTTTGTTCGGGTGGCCGTGCTCCTACTTGACAGCTCTCGCGCAGCGCAATCAGGGAAGAAAATTCCATCCTTATCATTTGATTAGCCGGGACGAATACCATGATCACACCGGCTGGCTGAACAAGTATCGAGTGGCTGTACTATATTATCTTCCGCGAGAGAGTTGCTACAATTAATCAGAGCACAGAAAGCGGAGAGCCGGTGTCTACTCTACAGATAGCTTGGTGGGGTGTTAGTGAACGGTGGTTTTTCCAAGTTGGCAAGTAGGCGAAAGTTCGAAGATTTGGTCAGCACCCCAGTGAAGTGTGGTGTGGTCACTCTCCGGACGAGGTCTTGTAAGACTGTACGCCTCTGTGATACTATTAAAGGAAAGGAGCGAACGAAGCTCCTCAAACAAGCTCTGTGTCGAGCAATTAATAAGATATCCAGCGAAACAGTCAAATGTGGAATACGAGCTTGTGACGAAGCTAGGCCTACGACCAGCCAGTATTCACGCTTTGTTTTCAAATCTGGAAGGAGTTACTCCTGTAACTATCAAACCAGAGCGCGCGCGACACAGGCGCTGAAATAATTTACAATTTCAGCAAAGCGTGACTCGACGAGTGAGTCCAGATAAGTTGAGAGATCGCTTATAGCCAAAAACACCGCTGGGGATTTAAGTACCGCGCTTAACGCGGGAGGATTTTCTTCGCTGGTGGGAGAAGACTAAAGCAGTAGGGCAGTTGTACCCCTGTCTCTGCGGTTTGAAAACTGCTTGTGAGTGGCATCCTCTTGTACATTGAGAGGATCGTAACAGCTAAAACGTACAGCAAGTGGTCATTCACTTTCCATCACTGGATTTAACTATATAGCAGTAGGATGGAGCTGTCAGGTGGTTCGCTATATGTAGCTCTTTGCCGTCTCATCTGGCTAGCAGGTAAGTGTTATGTTAACCGCGCACTGGGCCTTGGGTTTTGTTTAGCTCTTAAATTGTGGAGGCAAGGAACTAAACTGAAAGTTGTATTGGGTATATGTACTAATGCGAGTATAGTGTGCAGGTTTCTAATAAGACTTTGATGAGGAGCGATGACTATCTAACCCAGAAAGGGATAGAGAATAAGCCTCTCCTAATTTCTTGGCAATTTTTCATCGAAGAAGTAGGAGTAAGATATGCAGACTTAATACAAGAGAGTAGATAGATCAGACTTCGAGTTAGATATTATCAAACAGATATCATATCATTATCCGTAAAAGAGACGAGGTATTTTAAGGAGCACAACGAGAACTGTGCAACATCAGTAGGGCTGTGAAATCTGCGCTCCCTGAAATATTTCTCTATACCTTTTCCTGTTAGTCTCTCTTGTACCAGTACTCTACGATGACTATGTTTATTATCTTAACACCAAAATAGTTAAAGAGAGAGATACAACAGATCCTACGTGGTTTAATACACGTAGGTTAAGCTGTCTGTTAACACGGAAAATGTTCATTTTTCCCCTGTGTTTCTTCGACGTCCCCGATGTCAGTTACATGTATACTGTTAGTATTGCGTTATATTGACAGGGGTATAATGACAACTTGTAACAAAGTGGCACATTTGTTAAATGTCTGTGCACCGTGTTCGACAGAGGCACAAAACGCTACGTAAACCAAGAGGATATCTTTTAATAAGGTCCATTCAATAACGAGAAGAAAATATACCCGTTTATGACACGGAACGGGGTAAATCGCGGTGTACTTTTCAAATCTTTGAAAAAATTCTTCCTCAGTTCATAAAAATCGGCGAAGCAGAGAGCACGTGTTAATGAACAACCTCTCGCAGACCGTGGAACCCGGGGTAAAGCCATTTGAATCCAGTTAAACCGTGTACAGTCGCGTTAATTCTACTACCAATCCCCATATACCACAGAGGCATCTGAATCCTATATGCGGGATGGGTGAAGTCGTCGTCTTTAATTTTCTGAAAAGAAAAAACATTTCTTCCAGTATATCATATGAACCAAGTTCCTCCATTACCAATGGGAGATATAGAACTGCCTTAATGATACCCTTCAAAGGTCTCCGGTGAAAAATGCTGGGTCGCTCTATAATAAATAAGGGTATTTTGATCGCTCGGGTTGAAAATAATTATATAACTTGTCAAGAAAATGAAGATGCCCACCTTTTAACAGAGCCCAGTTCCAGGTCGAGACACACGTGTACAACAACCTGCTACTACCAGTAGACGTTAAACTATACAGAAATGGAATAACTCCAATATATATGGCGCCTGACCGGTTGAAAGAGGGACGATAAACTCCTTTGTTTTCTTGTTATTTTTCGAGAAATTCTCCGAGAAACCTCAACGTGATGGGATGTTTCTCCGTTGAGATTTTAAATCGCTCTTGAGACTTTATTTTGCAAAATATTAAAGGTAAGAAGACGACTACGACACAATGTGCCATCAAGGTGAAGCTCCCTTACAAAAAATTCTGTATCACAGTAATTTAAAAGATTTATTTTCCAATCCCCATCTTTTACCGGGATCATTCTCTTCAGATTTTGTGATGGACACTTCGTTAAGCGCAAATTTCCAATTTGTTTCATCGGACTGTCCTAAATTGAAAACTCGTTATTACCCAGAGCTTTTTCCACTATTTCTGATATTTTGCCGAGAAATGCTATTGGAATTTTTTTACCTTTCCCCTGGTCAAGATTCTGCCAATTTTTCCAAGAATGCTTTACTAATAAAAGACGTGGCGAAAGCGGCGAATCTTTTTCCAGAATTGAATGCTACATGGATAAGATAATTACGCGTCTCTCTCTCTCTCTCTCTCTCTGAACGATTGCCTTCGGGCCAGTCCAGACGGTTTTTAAATAAAATGCTTAATGTCTTATTTCCCGAAAGGGTTTGAAGTTCCTGAAGAGCGCTCTCGTCTTGATGGGTAACGACACGAGAGGCTTTGAAGTGCCGCAGCGCGGTTGCGTCTCTCAGTTACGTCACTTTCTGTCTGCACGCGACGTATTACGCACTAACTCACAATACTTGCTGCAAAAATGGATTGCACGAAAGTTAAACGCGTTCATTCCCTTAAGGTGAGCAGTGAAAAATCCAACATGACGTGTGCATCGCAAATACCTTCCGACTTAAACTGTAATTATCGTGTACGTGAACGTCTTAACATGAAGTATACAAATACAGTCACACGCACACAAACATTCAGGGGCAGGCACTCAGGCGCAAGCGCGCACGCATTCACGCGTGCCTTTTCTACAGGAAACGACCACTGATTGTCCCACAAGATAAAAAAATATTTCTCCACGACACTGACGAATTGCTACAACCACTTGTTCATGCTCAAAGATGAATTTTGATACATTTAATACGGTTACAACTGAGATCTTATCTTATCTGGAATTTAAACATTTCTCATTGTTTTCTTCCTTTTTACCGCAATAACAGACACCCTGAGATTGTGAACTAGTGTACTCCACGTGGTACATCGATTTTAGCCTGTTTTGTGAACTTTACACTGTGGTACACGGGGTGACATGCTACAGTGACGTTAAGTAGTCTGTTGGTCCTAAATTTAAGACAGAAAATTTCGGTCTACTTCAATTCAAGAGCCTTAATCCTTAGCAATGTACTAGAATAAAGTGACTTTTGGTATTAAATTTTAGCTTCTGCTTTATTATTTTGAATGCACCTTAATATTCCATTTTGAATGAACCAGCTAGTTGTGACATTTTCGGTCATAACTTGTCTTGCGGAACTGGCCCTTGCTTTCGAAATATTGCTGATACGTTTCTGCAATGTGTTAAGGACGAAAGCTGATATTGGGTCTACCTCCCCCCTCCCCCTCTAAAAAGGAAAGAAAGAAAAAAAGAAAAATGTATTGACAGAAAAGAAAGCAAAAGAAAAAGCCAGAAAAATAAGTTTTAAGACCGACAGTAGAGAAAACATCCGAGGTGATCAGGATGATTTTTTGAACGCTGCCGGGGTACTTTTCTTACCGTCATTTATCTCAAATTCAAGGTGAGTCAGAAAGGTAAGATTTTTAATATTCGCTTTAACCCGATAAGGCTGTAATTACGCGTGAAAAACGATGACGGGAGCTATGCTGCGGTTCTCCCTCAACAAGCAGTCCTTTGAAAAATGTGATGCCGCGTCTATTAAAAGTTATAAACTGGTGATGTGCATAGACGGGTATAAAAAGGAGCATTTACACTTAACTATCCCTTGACTGATCTTGATGCGAACCTGGTTTGACTCGACTTTTGCTGAGTATATAGATTACCGTTATTAATAGCAGTATGGTGCACTTAAAGCATGATACATGTATGATAAGAGAAGGGGTAATGGGCGCGTTTACACATTATGGTTATTCTATTCTATCTTAGAACCACATGGAGCGAATTACAAGGACCCAATGGGCCACGTCCATGAAGTTTATTTGAATGCATCACTGCACTATTTCTCTTTACGTTCGACTTCATTAAATTAAATCTTTCAAAAAATTGTAAGCAATCTCCACGTCAAAATCTAAATATCTTTTGACATTTCGTTTCGCCAATGAAACTTCTTCGCGATCTTTCACCATTTTAAGTTTGCGTGCGTTATCTTGAATTCCGATATTTATTTTTTTACGCCAATTGAAGATAAAGTGTTTAAAACGTTTGAAACATGATTTAGTGAAGTCTTGTTATGAAAATCAATGTATCAAGTCGTCTTCACGGTAAAAAGCAATCTCCCAATTGTTTTACGACAAAATATTCCTTTATTTTAAGATGCAAGCGTAAGTGGAATTGGTAAAACAAAACAAAAAAACTTATGTGTCCTTAAGTGTCTGAGGGACTGAACGTGTTCACTACCCATGAGACAAAACAATTTTATCCCTAATCGACTCTTTTTTATCATCAGTAAATAGGAGACAATGAAAAACGTGTTTCAATATAATTAGAGTGATGGCCTCTCTGATGTTTGATAAATAAGAACTTAGTCCTGGTCCCGGTATCACAAAAATTCTTAAGTCAGTTCACTGGCTTAGGTGACAAGGGTTTCCATGAGAGTGTTGTAACACTGTTCCTGATAGGGTAAGATGTGTGTAATTGACCATGTAGCGTGGTAACAAAACCACTATGTTAGCTGCTAGAACTAACTTAAGTTTGTTTTTTTTTAAACCTGGGCCTTATTTGCACGAAGATCGCTCCACAATCCCAAGTGTAAACCCCCTTAAATTCGTCTGCCTGTCACATATTGTTCTTCTAGGTCCCAATGTTTTCACTATATTAATGAGAATTTATACCGTGCCTAGCATTCGGTCATTATACAGTATATTTTGTTGACTGTTCACATGAATATGAAGCCANAACATTTCTCATTGTTTTCTTCCTTTTTACCGCAATAACAGACACCCTGAGATTGTGAACTAGTGTACTCCACGTGGTACATCGATTTTAGCCTGTTTTGTGAACTTTACACTGTGGTACACGGGGTGACATGCTACAGTGACGTTAAGTAGTCTGTTGGTCCTAAATTTAAGACAGAAAATTTCGGTCTACTTCAATTCAAGAGCCTTAATCCTTAGCAATGTACTAGAATAAAGTGACTTTTGGTATTAAATTTTAGCTTCTGCTTTATTATTTTGAATGCACCTTAATATTCCATTTTGAATGAACCAGCTAGTTGTGACATTTTCGGTCATAACTTGTCTTGCGGAACTGGCCCTTGCTTTCGAAATATTGCTGATACGTTTCTGCAATGTGTTAAGGACGAAAGCTGATATTGGGTCTACCTCCCCCCTCCCCCTCTAAAAAGGAAAGAAAGAAAAAAAGAAAAATGTATTGACAGAAAAGAAAGCAAAAGAAAAAGCCAGAAAAATAAGTTTTAAGACCGACAGTAGAGAAAACATCCGAGGTGATCAGGATGATTTTTTGAACGCTGCCGGGGTACTTTTC